GACATCTCCCAGACTGCTCCCTGTTCCCATGGGTGGCACAGGAACCTTCCCCTGACGGTGTGTTTGGATTTGGGCCCTGGACTGTGGGGGAGCTCAGCTCTGGAGGTCAGAAGATGCTGGTTCTAGGCCCCGCTGTGCAGTTAATCACTGTCTTCCAGGGCTCATTGTGTTGGTTATTGGAGACCCCACCCTCCCACCTGTGTCTGGGATCAGTTATCAGAGGGGCTCTGGGCTGAATGAAGGGCTCAGGGGACTCTGCCACCTCCTTCCTGGTCGGTGGAGAACTCAGATCATTGTGCTAGGTCAGGTTCACAATAGAACCAGGGAGATAAGCTGTCTGCTGAGGGCCAGACCACCTGGGGACTTTGGGCTGTGGTCACATCTGGTCGTGTGTCCCCTCTCAGCCCTGGTAATCCCTTTGCAGAGCCATCTCCCCTTCCCCTTTAGACTCTGACCTGGCTATTTCAGGAGGTGATAGATGCTGCTGAACTGAGCACTAGTGGCCAGGTTTTGAGGAGAATATATGGCCAGTCACTGTGAGCTTGGGTCACTGTGAGCTTGGGACGGGCCTCTGAGCAATGATTTGAGAACAAGAAGGCAAGTTAGGCTCACGCTCCTTTCTTCCAAATGTGGAACATGGAGGTAAAGGGAAGGAATGATCCACTGAGCACCCATGACATTGTCACCATGCCTGTCTTCTCTGCTGGACATTGTCACCTACCTGGCTTCTACCCATGTGGCTGGGATCCGCATCTCAAGCAGCTGGACAGAGAAGCGCACTATGAGGGCCATGATCATGAGTCTGGATGTGAATCTCCTCCTCCTCCTCCTCCTCCTCCTCCTTCTGTCCATTCCGTGCCCCTCCTCTCCCCCTGGATCTCTATAAGGTCCTCAGCTCTCTTGGGGAACACAAGGAGGCCTCCTTGAAAGCGCCATCATCATCTCATGCTGCCCTGTGACCATGCTGCAGCCAGGGCCTGCTGAGTGGCGGGTGCCCTTGGCCCCTTCCCGCTGCTGTAGAAGCGTGGCCTGTGGCCTGTGGCCTGCTTCCTGCCCGCCCCCACCAGCCTCCAAGGCAGGTCTTTCTTTTGCATTCTTCCTTCTGCTCCAGTCCTGTGGCTGTTTCCAAAGCAGGTCCCTGGGCTTTGGGCCAAGTTCATCAGGAAGTCTGGGATGGCCACGGAGGCAGAGTCTGGTGACCTGCATGTCCCAGGGCTCACCACTCACCACATGTCCCGATGGCTGCATCTTTGAGCATCCCAGCCTGGGGACTGGGAAAATGTGGTGGCCACCAAGAAAATAAAGCAGCTTAAAGGTTCAGAGCCAATGTTCTGTGTACAACTTGGAGCTAAGTGCTGCATGGCAACCTGCCTGCCAGACCCTAGAACACTGCTGTGAGCTCCCTGGAAGAAGTGCTGGACTTTTCAGTTGCTCATGGAGGAGTGAGAGACCCATGGCTCTGCAGCCAGTTCTGCTGCTGTGCATGGCTGAAGTCAGTTCATGACTCTACTTCAGTATCTGTAAAATGGGCACAAGAGGATCACTTGCCTGCAAAGACTTTTAAGTACTGAATCTGGTCCACAGATAACACCTAACAAGTGATACAGTCTGTCTGACTTCTTCTGTTGCCTGGCAGTGAGAAGTCGACAGGAGGAGAGGATACCACCATGACTGGTCCAGGACAGAAAGCTTCCCCACCCAGACCCCAGGTCCCTAAGCTTGGATACAAGGCCCACTTGGAAAGGCTGCTCACGCTTTCCGTCCACAAATTTCCATCAGCAAGTAATTGAACATCAAGTCTGTGTGTCAGGCATGTCCTTGAGGGCCAGGTCTGACAAGACAGAGATGGCCCCTGTCCTCAGGGAGTGTCCTGAGTGCTTGAAGATGACAACCAATGAGCATTCAGCAGGCGATCTCAGGAGCACCTTGGTACCACGACAAAAGAAAACAGATACCAGTGGGGACAGCTGAGCGACAGCTCTTGGGCTAAGTTGACTAGAAAGACCCTCCGGAGAGCTGGCATCTAGCAGAGACCTAAACCATGAAACCTGGGCACAGATGGTACAGGGACAGAGGTGTCCTGGGCGGAGGGACAGTGTGTGACAAGGCCCTTCTGTGGAAGCGGCTCAGCTTAGTCACAGGAGAACAAGAAGGCCACCAGGGGTTGGCAAATGAAGCCAGAAGGGAAAAGGGCACAACTGAGGGTGGCAGGCAGCAGGGGACAGATGATGCCCTTTACGTCGCATTCAGGGAAAGAGCAATGAGAAATCAATGGAGGCTTCTAGGCAAGGGACTCACCTGGTGCAGCAGGAGCCAAGTCCGGATGCAGGGGAGAGAGGAACATGGTGCAGGAGGCCAGGAAGTCCAGGTAAAGATGGCAGTGAGTGGGACGGGGTAGTGACACACCAAGTTACCCGGACACGAAGTCTCTGGTGCCACAGCAGCTCCAGCAATGGAGCCCCTTTCCAATGATGCCACAGATGGGGAGGCCACCGGACCCCCTAGGGGCTCAGGGACCCGGCAGCACTGAAGCCTCTGGTAGACCTGAGGTGACAGTCTGTGTGTGCCGTGGGAATCACGGGCACTGGGCACAGACAAAGACATAGGCCACGCTTTGATGGACATAAGTCTTTATAGGCCATGAAATCCTGAGTTCTGGGAACTGCAATGGTTTATGTTATTTCTGAGGGGAGACTAATATGGAGCTAGAACTGGAAAAATACAGGTCCTTCTGCCAGCTTTGCAGACGTTTTGGGAAGCGGCATTGTTAACCCAAGGGAACACAGTGAAACTTGTGGAACAGAGCTCACAGAGAGGGGTGGCAGCTGCCAGGGCCACCGAGCAGGGATGGAGGATGGGGACAGGCAGGTGCTCTGAGCAGAGGATGTCAGGGGCTCTAACTTGTGCTGGTGTTGCTACGGCTGATACAGTGTATCTACTTGAGCAGTTTAGAAGTTTAACCAAGAGACTCAGCAGGGAGCCAGGGTTCATGCTTTGTAAATATCCTCAGCCTGTGCAAAGGAGGGCAAGATTTTGTGAGTGCTATACTGGCCTTGGAGTGGGGGCCTGTGTACCATAGAAGGGGGGAAAAGGTCATTTGGCCCCTCTTTTGCTCTGCTGTCTTGAAGCGTTTCCCTGGTGCTATGCCACCTGCCGTGGAGCCAGCTGATTATGGACCAAAACCTCCACAAACTGTAAGCTAAATAAACCTTTCCATCCTTCATTTTGGGCATCAGGCATTTTGTCTCAGCAACTAGAGAAAAATAACCAAGACAGGTGTTTGTCTGTTTAGAAAATCAAGCCAATTTTTCTCATAATCATATCAATTAGAAATAACCCTTCCTGTGTTCTTCCTGCCCTCTCTTCTTTTTCCCCCCATGGTCTGTCTGGTCACGGAGGACCCTAGGCATAGGGAAAGCAAGGAAATGGGAAAAAAAGTGCTGAGAGCATCACTGTGCATGTAAAGTCCAGGCTCTAAATTCTTCTCCCAGAAAGAGGTCAGGAAGTGGCAAATTCTGAGCAGTGGCCCCAGGATTGGTTGGGCAGCGGCCACCAGTGTCCATTTCCTTTTGTCCCAGCCCTTCTGGTGAGCTCAGCACACCGTCGCTGTCTGCCCGGGGTGCTCCTGCTCTGGCTGGAGGGGAAGGGCTTTGCACTGAGACAATCACAGGACCCAGGTCCTCCCTCGTACACTGGTCCAGTGGGCACAGAGACAGAGAACAGAGGTTGGGCTGTGCGCGGCGGCTTGCTTGCAGCTAAGGATAGGCCTCTGCAACAGTGACAATGTAGGCATCTTTTGGCCATGCCACTCTCTCTGCCATCCCTGGGCACCACTCAAACTCACCACCCTCTCCACCATCCCCGGGTACAGGTATTGTGAAAAGCCGCCTTGGTTTAAAATCAATTGTAAAACATTAACATAGAAACAAACTTTAATTTAAAAAATCACAATCTCATTACTCTAGCATGAATAAGTAACAGTTATTGAGCATAAACTCTCCTCACTCTCCTGAGTCCTTTGCACGTGTCCCTCAGCTCAGCTGGAGGCAGCAGTCTTGGCTCTGCCCGGGTGAAACTGCCCCCAAAGGTCAGAGGGCCAGTCTGTCTGCCTCTCCCGTTGCTCGGGGGCAACTTGGAAATGTGCACGAGGGTGGTCACGGCCTGGTCAGTGGGTTGGTTAATTGTCTGATTAGCTAGTTAGCTGGTCAGGCAGCACAGCAAAGTGGCTAGAGACCCAAGCCTGAGTTAGCAGGTTCCCACCTTTGCTTGGCCACTTTCTAAGCTGTGTGGAAATTTCTCCCCCACCCACGAGCCTTAGTCATCCTTGTACATAAAATGGGTGTAAGAATTGCCCCACTCAGAGGATCAGGGTTGTAGGTCAGCAGAGATAAACGCACACACAAACCTGCACATGATAGGTGCTTAATAAACACTGTGGTGCTGATTTCCAGTACAGGACAGCTTTGCCACCCAGCTCCAAGCAGAATGTGTGAGACCTCTGCCCGCAGGCGTCTCCAAGGACCTCATGCATGCCACGGGCCTGGGCACCATACTCTGGGTTCCTGGCCCAGGCAGCTGCAGCAGAGATCTCTCCACTAGGTACGGACCATTATTTCCATTGGGAAAAGCGCCTCTGCCTTCATGTGCCGCTGCTCCTCTGTGCCACAGGAATTCACTCTGAGCACAGAAGTCCCTTCTGATTTGCCACAGTGATCGATGGCACCAAGTCACAATGGCCTGTGCTGGAGAAGAGCCTCCCCGTTTCTGTTCCTGAACTGCATGCGGCACAGCATGAGGCTGGGTGTGGTGGTGCAGGCCGGTAATCCCAGTTACCTGGGCGGCTGAGGCAGGAGCATCACAAGTTCAAGACCAGCCAAGGAACTTTGTGGGACTCTGTCTCAAAATAAAATAGAAAAGGGCCAGGATGTAGCCCAGTGGTAGGTCACTTGCATGCATAAGGCCCTGGGTTCAATTTTCAGTACTGAGATATAGATAGATAGATAAGTAGGCCAAATATTTCAGTAAAAATAACACAGCAGGAATGAGCATACTGTTCACTGCCCAGTGAGACTTGCCCACCGTTCTGCCATTGACAGGATAGCCCTCCACATTACCAGGTTCTTTTATTTTTCTTATTCTCCCGCTACCCTTAATGGGCTGACCATGCTAAGGTCACGTAGGATGAAAGAGTGGATATTTGGAAGTTGTGTTTACCCCCTGGCTCGGCTGGCTATGGCACAACAGCTCATGCTGGGGAGTTGAGGAAAAGTCAGCCTCAGATTCAAGCCATCATGTAGCTGGGGACCTGGGGGAGATCACTTCACACTGTGAAATGTGTAATGTGTGCATGTGTATTAGTTAGCATTGCCTTATTATAATGAAACACCTGGGGAAATTCAGGTTTAGGGAGGAAAGAGCTATTTTGGCTCATAGTTCTGGAGGGTTCAGTTCAAGACCAAATGCCCCCATGACCTTGGGTGACTGGTGAGGATGCCACATCATGGCAGGAAGAGGGACAGCCAGGGTTCCACAATTCAACTTCAAAGGCACAGCCCAGAAACCAAAGAACCCTGTGCCCTGGCTCTGCCTCCTAAATGGCTCCGCGGTAGGGTCACCCGGTACAAAATTGGAGACACTCATCCAAACCATAACAGCACACTTGTATTTTGCAGCCTCTCACAATATACCACATGGATTTTGTAGCAAATCACAAATGGTCAGTAGAAATATGCAAGTAAGTTTTAAGATTAAAAATTATGGTTTTTGCTGTTTTATTAGGAATCTCAGTTTTTCTGAAAGGTGAACCAGGGCCCTGGGTATGGTTATTCTTGAGGGGAGAGAGTAAAGGAATAATCCCAGGCTGCCTGAAGTTGCAGAGACTACCCAAAGCCCGGAGTCCAGGGGCCTGTGCACAGAGATGTGGGTACCATGGGAGTGTTTGATCCAGCGTTCCTCTCCTTGGTCCATGTGTTTGTTTGTCCATTTGGTTGGTTGGGTGGGTCTCACTATATAGCCCAGGTATATGGCTTCAAGCTCCTGGTGATCCTCCTGCCTCAGCCTCTGAGTGCGGAGATTACAGGTGACCACCACCATGCCCAGCCCCATTTTTGAATTCTTAAAGATATGAGCTGGTGCTAGAAATGGAGAAGGGCAGACAGGAGCCAGCTGCCTGGTCCAGATGTGGAGATTCCATTACTCACCTGCAGTGTCTTCAGAAAAGCTCGAAGTAGTTTCTTACGTCTCAAGTCTCCTTTCCCATACACGTGTGCACGTAATAGCAGCAAGTATTTTCATAGCTTTTCTTTTCACTGCTAAAGATCAAACCCAGGGCCTTGCACTTGTGAGACGAGCAACCTAACCCTGAACTACACCATCTCCATAGGGTTCTGAGATGACCGAGTCTACCACACATAGCTTGGTGCCTTGGCACGTGTGGGATGCAGATTGAGCCTCTTTAACCTGAAAATTCAAAATAAAAATGCTCCAAAATCTGAACTGTTATGAGCACCAGCATCCACCCCAAGTGGGAAGCTCTGCACCTGGCCCCTTGTGATATGTCACAGTCAAATACAGATCAGCACACAGCGGTGCAGGCCTGAAGTCCCTCTACTGGATCTGAGATAGGAGGCTCTCAAGTTCAAGTCCAGCTTGGGTGGGCGATTTGGTGGCTTGGCAAAAACCTATCTCAAAAATCTTTTAAAAATATAAAAAAAAAGGGATGGGGATATATCTCATTGGGAAGGCCCTGTGTTCAATCCCCTGTACCAGAAAACAAACAAAATACAAAAAACAGACCCACTAACACTATTGCATGAAATTACCCTTAGCTTATGAATATGAAACATACATGAATTTTGTTTAGACTCAGTTCCCAAGATACCTCAATAGGTATATGCAGATATCACAGTCTGAGGGGAAAAATGCTAATCCTAAAAACATTTCTGATTGCAAGCAGCTGGGGTAAGGGATCCTCAAGCCAGAATTATCAGCCTCCCCAGTTCCATGGATGGGCAGAGAAAGCAAGGCTTGAGAATTTAAGTGACTCTTCCAGGGTGGCACAGGGAGTTCTCCCACAGTCCAGAGGTAAGGGTCCCAGGGACTCTGCCCACTCTCTCCCACAGAGCCTGAGGTCCCTGCCGGCAGTACCGTGCCCCTCGCTGCCCTCCGGGCTACCCTCTTGCCTGCAAAATAAGATCTGGCTGGGAAAGAATCAGCCTAGAAAACTAGAGATCAGAAGGGCTAGCCCCAGTCAGCCTTCTCCTGCCCCAGCTGCCACCACTCAGTGGCTCCGGTCAGGCAAGGACAGGCTGAGTCCCCAGAAGTTCCGGCCACGTCAGGGGCACGTTGTGGAATGCAGAGCTCCTTATGCAGTCAGTGCTTAACAGACTATTATAAATATTATAAATGAGTGCCCGGCCCTGGCTCAGGCCCAGTCAGCTGGTCCCCTGGGGCTCTCCTGATTGGCTGTTCTCACCGCTGACCCTTCTTGGCACAGGGATGTCATGAGCGCTACCCAGTGGGCACTCCGGTCCTGCACAATCACCAAAAAGGCCTCCATCAGGAGACTTCCCTGGCATGGGTGCCCCAGCCCCTTCCTGTCCCTCCCGGGATCCTGTCCCTGGCTCTCGGAGGCTCTTGGTTCAGCCCAAGGTTTCTCAGCTCCACCACTGCTAACATTTGACTCCACACAGTGCTAAGTTGTGGGGATTTCCACGCACAGCAAATGTTCAGCCCCACCCTCTAGAAGCCAGCAGCATGTGTCCCCCAGGGGCGAAGACCAAAGTCTCCATTGCCAAATGTCCCAGGGAGAGGGATGCAAAACTGCTCCCTTGGTGAGAACGACTTACAGTGGTGCCTCCCCCAGGACCGCCACGGTGAGAAGCCACGTTCCGCGCATAGGGCGGCTGTGAAGGAGGCTCGAGGTGCCCAGGCAGGGATCATAGGTACAGGGACAAGGACAAGGCCGGATGCCCGGGAGTGGCATCCAGTGGGTAGGGAGTGGGAAGGGCAGGGGCACCCATACCTAGATATGGCCAGACGTTTCTGGGCTGTCCTGTGGTCCAGCTTCTGTCCCATCTTGAGATTTTTGGGGTTTTCCAGAGAAGCCAGAAATTTTTATGTAACATCTCCTGATCCTTAGATCTTGGCAACTGATGTGAATTTGTTAAAAAACACTGTGGGAAAAACAAAATATGTCTTACAAGCCCAATGCAGTCTGCCGGCTGCCAGCTCTGCAGTCTCTTCCAGGGCTGAGCCTGGGTCCTGGGAGATCGTAGGGCTCTGTGCTCGGCCTCTGAGCCCCACAGATAGGCCCCACCATGTGGGCCACTCCAAGCCCCTTCTGAGGTCTGGTGCCTAAAGTGGAGGGGTCTGAATTCCCAGAGGAGCGAGAAGATGGGACCTACCCAGGAAGGAGGCCTAAAGACCTCCTGTCCAGCTGGAGGCTTTGGTATCAATTTGCTATGTGACTTGGGACAATGGCTTACCATCTCTGGGCTTCAGGTTCTCCAAACAATTGCAGAGAAAGTGCTCTCTGTTCCCCAGACTTGAAAGAACACAAAGTCCCGACTAGTTTGCCCATGCCCAGCAGGCATCTTTGTCCCCAGACTGACCTGGGAAGGGACAAGCTGCTGGGCGTCCAGCTCAGGCAGGCTGATTTTTGGTACAGGGTGTTACCATGTAGCTCAGACTGGTCTTGAACTCACTGTACAGCCCAGGTTGGCCTCAAACTCATAGGGATCTTTTTGCCTCAACCTCCCCAGCGCTGGCATCCCTGGCATGCGCCACCACACCTGCCATCAGGCATCCTGCCTTTCAGAGTGGGGAGTCTGGAGACAGTGGTCCCTGGGGGAGCCCTGCTCTGTGCAGTCAGGTCACTAAGTGCCTGGGGGTGGGGCCACCTCGTGCCACGGCCAAACGTTGCTTAGCTCTGGTGAGTGATGAGATCCCCTGTCAGGAGGGGCTGTAGGACACTCGGTGGGCAGGCTTGCGTCTGGCTTGCTGGGAACTCTGAGCCAGCTCCCAAGGGGCTGTGCTGCCTCCTGGGACCTTGGTAAGGCTGGGCAGAGGGGAGGGGTATGAGAAACTGTGTAATGTGACCCCTAATTACACCGACAGGGAAATGAGGTCACACAGGGCATGCAGCCAGTCCTCCTCCGTCACCCTAGCAACAGGACAAAATGCATACCTATGACCGCTTGCCCAGTGCTCCTTCTGATCTACCGCCTGGCCATGGGTGACAAAGAACAGATTAGCACTGGCTTTGCCTCTCACAGGCCTGTGCCTCAGATATTCAGGTGGGCCACATATGGGAAACACACTGGCAAGCCAGAGTTGGCTTCAGGGGCCACCAGGGTGCGACCTCTGCACCCCTATCATATCCTCAGTTTATTCAGCATTAAAATGGGTATGCACAGTGACACCACACACACACATACACACACATACACACACCCAAGCCAGAACAGAGGCTCTTTAGGAAGGCAAGCCCAGAGCTGTGGGCATACAACATGCTTAAAACTCTGTCCTGCCAGTCACAGCAGCCACACGTATAATCTCACACATTCAGGAGGCTGAGGCAGGAGGATCACATCAGTCCAACTCAGACAGTTTAGTGACTTAGCAAGAAAATATCACAATAAAAATAAAAAGGGCTGAGAATATACAGCTCAGAGACTCTGGTTTTGGTCCCCAGCACCACAAAAAATAAAAAAATAAACAACACTGCCCCTGCCTTCCATTTCCAGGAGGACTTGGGGCCCAGCGCAGCCAGCAGCCAGGGCAGATATCTTTTACCCCCCAGACCCCTCTAGACACCCTGTAGGGCCCTTGGTTTGGGAGAAACAGTCCACTTTAAGTTGACTTTTTTTTAAAACTGGGGAACCATCACACTGAGCTACATCCCCAGCCCTTCTTTATTTTTTGAGACAGTGATTTGTTAAGTCAGTAAAGTGCCCAAACTGCACTCAGACTTTGGCTCGTCCTGCCTCAGCCTCCCAGAGAGCAGGAATTGCAGGCCTGCAGCTCCACACCCACTTCAAAGCCCACATCTTTACAAGCAGAAAGGAGGCAGCTTCTTTTCCATTTAGCAAAACACACGTTTGCTTGTTTGTTTAAATAAGGAACTTGGTGGGGAAGGTGCCAGTCCTGCCTACGGATCTGTTCAACAAAGCTGCCTCCTGGAACAGGCCCAGAGATGTGTAAAGGACAGTCTGGGGAACGGAGAAACACAGAACAAATTCTATGTCCCTGGCGACTTCTGTCCCAAACAGGTTGCGGTTCCTTCCTGATGCCCAGGGTGCAGGAGGACCTGGGCTTGGTCCATGCTGAGGCTGCTGGGGCCAAGTCAGGCCCGTGCTGGGGGTACTATGCAGCCAGGAAGCTCCTCACCTGCTTAAATGGCTGTTTCAGGGGCCCGTGTGCTGTGCTAGCGAGAGGGAGACCCCAGAGTGCCCGGCTGCTGAGCCGCGGCCCTGGAAGCCTGGGCAGGGCCACCGCAGAGCTGTAATTACAGAGCAGCAACCCTGCATGTGGGGACAGGCCTGATCCTGGTCTCTGGTTGCCGGAAGTCATCGGGGTGGAGGAGGGGATGTTATGTAACAGTGACGCCACAGCCACTGAAGTTCCTTCGACCTTGTCATGCTGTGCTGCTGTGTTCCACCCACTCAGAAGGACACGAAGCTCCAGAGCCCTCCCACCAGGCAGGGCAGTGGCCCTGGGCTTTCAGCCACCTGGAAGGCTGAGGCGCCCACCTCTGAGCCGGGAATCTCGGAAGCCTGGGTGGGGCTAGAACTTGGGTTTCTCATACTCTGCAGAAGTGGGGCTCCCATGGCTGGTTGGGGGAACGCACTTTGAGAAGCCCAGTCCAAGGGCTGAAGGAGAGTTCCTCTGGGCCTAGGATGGCTGTGCAACCCCAGGCAAGTGTCTGAGCCTCTCTGGGCTTCCGTTTTCCTCGGCCTCAGAAGAGCTCACCCCCAGCTCAGTGTGGGCATTGCCTGATAACTGTTCATGAGCTATGCGGAGATTTTCCCATGAGAGGCCCAGGCTCTGGCTCCACTCCTGCAAGCTGTTCCTACTGTGGCTCTAGGAGAGATAGGCCCTTTAAATCTTAAAGGGACAGCCTGCGCTAGCATCACAAAGTCTCACCTGGCAAGAATCTCGAAGTCACTCACTAACCTGGTGGTTGGGAACACCTGTGTCCTAGGACAGGTAGGCATCAGCCCCGTGAAGAGGCATTGGAGGTCAGCATCGGAGTCCTGTGCATGCAGCACGATTTGCAGTTTAGCATCCTGTTGGGCTGCGGGGCTTCCAGGCACCAGGGTCTGATGGCCCAGCCACAGCACTGAGGACAGGAATGGCCCAGGACAGATGCCAGGTACCTGAGCTGGCCAGCGCTGTGCAGCCACTCGGCCTTTCCCAGCTGTGCTACCTGCTCCGCACAGGGTGACCCTGGCAGACAGCCATGTATTATCTCTATTTACAAATGGGGAAACTGAGGCCCAGGAAGGAGACCTGGCTGTCAATGTTTCTTGGGTGTATGAAGCAACTGCAGGACGGAAAGTGCAGAACTCCAGACCTCGGACCCTGGGGCTCACCACGATCCTCCCAAGGTTAACCCGCCCCGTTTCCCTGGCCCCCGTGGGTAGACAGAGGAGGTGCGGTCAAGAGAGAGTCAGGCTGGGCACCCAGGCTCTTCCTAGTTCAGGAGGAGGAGTGGGGAACAGGGCTGGCCCAACAGGGAGGCGCTGGGACGGGCCCTAGGTCCTGGGGGCCTCACACATTGTACATAGTTTAGACAAGTGTCCCCTAAGGGCCCTTGTGTTGTGTTTTGTTTGTTTGTTTGTGACAGCATCTTGCCATATAGTTCAGCTGGCCTTGAGCTTACCATGTAACCTGGGCTGGCCTCAAACTTGCAGCAACCCTCCTGACTCAGCCTCCAGGGTACTAGGATTATGTATGGCATGTAACACCCCACTGAGAAGTTTTTTGAGCCAGAATTGCCTGCATTTGAATCCTGGCTCAGCTTTCTGCTAGCTGTGTGACCTAGGACAACACACTGAACCTATCTGCACTGAGCCTCCTCATCCGTCAAGCTAGGAGCACAGCAGTATTTATATAGTTGTGCTGGAGATTTTAAACAGGCTGAGGCTCACCAAGTGCTTTATTAATGTTATGATGACCCTCCATAGTAATGATCCTCTCTCCGTTTGCTGGTTAATTAAATGACTTTTTCTTTTGAGATAAGATCTGACTGTGTGGTTAAGGCTGGCCTGGAACTCACAGCGATCTTCCTGCCTCAGCCCCCTGAACGCTGGGAAATGACCACATTTAAGTGAGCAGTTCCTAGCAGAGTGCCTGCCCCCGAGGAGGAAGTGCTCAGCAGGTAGTAGCTGTAATCCTGGCTGGGCCTGGGTCCCCGAGCCCCTGAAATCACACCCAGAAAGAAGACATACAAGATCTAAATCTTATGTTAGTCAACATCCCAGAGCCAAAACCCCAGGCCAAAGCCAAGCACAAAGCTGCATGCTTGTAATCTTGGCACTCAGGGGAGGCTGAGGCAGAAGGATGTGAAGTCAAGAACACCCAGGGCTAGAACCCCAAAACCCAAAAACCCTGGTTGGAGGACCCCAGGTGGAGTTCTGCTGGTGGCCACCGGGGGCAGCAGAGGGCCAAGCCCGTCCTGTACCCTCTGAAGGCGCTCCCTGGGGCTCAGCTTTGGGAGGAGGGAGGATGGAGGAAACTGCTGTTCTACCTGTGGCCGGGCAGTAATCCCGCTTCTGAGAGCTGACCCTGTACTTACCAGCCACGTCATCCTGGCCACGTCATCCTGGACAAGTTCCTCACTCTCCCTCCACCCAGTGTCCCATAGCTCGTGGGACCAATGTGGCTTGGAGGCTTGCATGAGCTGGAAAGCACAGGCCGTAGGGTGACGAGATGATTAATAAGTCACCTCTACTAAAGGTAGCATCCTAGCTGCCAACAGGGACCTTGCAGCCAGAGCGCCTGACTGGAGTCCCACCACGTCTCTTACTGGCTGTGTGGCTGTGCGGAAGACCTGCCCTCTGTTTCCTTGGTTGGAAAATGGGTTGATAGCCATGCACTTGCTCCTCAGGGTTTGTGGGAGGATTAAGTGTGTGTCATCAGAAGTTGTAGCATTTTGATGTTGTCAGCTTTTATTGTAAACAAACTGAAACTTAACTTCCTGCTTAAAATGCCTTTGCTTGAAGTGAGCTCACCCAGGGGCTGTGGAGAAGGGTGAGTTGTAGCCTCCGGATCAGGAAGGATCTAATTTGGGCCGGGCACAGTGGTGCACTTGGGAGGCTGAAGCGGGAGTGGAAGTAGTGTGATCCTGCCTCAAATTTTTAAAAAATCTAATTTTGCCCAAGCTGGTTTGCGAAGCAGGACAGCCATGCTCTCTGAAAGCTTTTTCTGCTCTGTTCTGCCCAAGAACTGCATACAGTGGCTGGCTGTAGGGCAGGCCCCTTACAAGCCTCTGGAGGGGGTCTGAATGTGTGCCAGGTCATTCGGGGCCCTGAGAAGACTGTCAAAGGGTGCTGGTGAGCCCACGACAGCCCTACCAAAGTCTCCAACCTCACCAGGACAGATGGCAGAGTAGACCTCGGAGAAAATCCTGCCCCCTGAGGACTAAGCAGGTTTGGGGAAATCCCACTTTAATCTCCCATGCTGCACCTGTGGACCAGATAGAGGGAGTCCTCCTGCGATGGCCAGGGGAAGGCAAGGAGCTCAGCACTGTCCCTGCTGGTGGCCTTGGCCGTGGAGGCAGCCCAGAGCTGGCCCAAGCACTTCTGATCACTCTGGAATCTCTGGATGCTGGCTGCAGACTGCACATCCCCACAGTGCTGAGGGGGTGCCTGTGTGGCTCAGGGGCAGTGGGCTTGTCACTGGCCTCCACCAGCAATATCCCGCTGTCCAGGTTTTCAGGTTTTACCCTGTGCCAGGCACAGTGCTCTCCATGTGACTCACCCCACAGAAACCTCAACTCCATAGGAGTTCAGTGTGCATTTCATCCCACGGATGCAGCCGCTGAGGCTTCCGGGTGAAGCCACTTTCCCATGAGTGTCAGGGATGGGATTCAACTGCAGGTCACTCTGCCTCCAGAGACTGTCCCCAACCTCCTGGTAGGCAGTCTCCAAGATGGCCAAGGTGAGTCCCACCTTCTGCTGTCTAGTGACACGCTTCTAATGAAGGAAACAGGGAAGAGGTGACAAGATGTCACTTCCCAGGCGAGGTTGCACAAAGCTGGTGGCTTCTGTCTTGCTCTTTCTCAGAGCTCTCCATGGGGACAAGCTGCCATCATGTGAGAATATCCAGCAGCTAAAGAGAAACTCAGGTTCTCAGCCCCATGCCCAGGAGAAAGAGACTCTTGCCACCTGGGTGGGGCTGGGGGGAAGTGGTCCCCTGCTAACCCCTTGAGGTGACAACAGGCCACTAGGATCATCTTGTTTGCAGCCTGTGAGAGTCTGTGAGCTAGGCCACACCTGGATTCCGGCCCCACAGAAACTATGAAGAAATCAGTCCTTGTCTCTTTCAGGTATTAAATTCTGGTGCAATTTGTTACACAGCAATGGGTAGCTAATACATTTCCTTTTAGGACTAGCAACACACACACAAAACATATCCACACAGCCACCAAGAGGAGGGATATAAAAAGTAATGGATGGGGCTGGAAGAGTCACCCCTCACACTCCCCAAGCCAGCTCTTCACTCTGCTCTTGCCAGGGAGCACACCTGAAGCCGAACACAGAAATTTCCCCCTCCAGGGTCACACAGCAAGCTGGGGGGTGTGGGTGCTGTGAGGGCCCCAGACTCCTAGAAGTCTTGCCTGGAGCTCACAGGCATATCAGAAAACCCCGCATTCTTCAGCGGGATCAAAGGTTGCTGCTTCGTGTTAGCTGGAAGTGTCCAGAGCCAGTACAGTCACGTGACCTGAAGATCACAGTAAAAGGTCTTCTATGAGTATGAAAAGCACAGCCAAGAAGAAAATACCTGAGCAGTTCCAACGGGCTCAAATAACCAACTCCAAGCCATTGCCAAATAGAATAGGATCTCTTAATGTGATGTTTCTGGGTTTTGTTCCTTAAGCCAAATACACCTTGGGGTTTTCTTCTGTGATTTAAGTTCCCCTGGGACAAGGGGGCCACTGTGAATGGGACTTCATTGACCCCTGTTTCCTCAGGCAATGCTGTGTTTTCTTTGGTGGCACCCTGTCAGCCTGAGGTCAAACTCAGGGGACACCTCTCGCTGGACATTCTTCTCTGTCCCTCACCCCATACCCCAACTTCCCACCACAGCCCACGCTCTTTAAACTGAGTTGCTTCAAGTGCTGGTGGGGGACAGTTCCTGCTGCCTTAGCCGACCTCTCAGCCCCTTCCTGCTGCTGCAGAGGCCTGGCGTGTGTGGCCTGGAGAAGGGCAGATTTACCCAAACCCCAGCCCACTAGTCTGCATCAGTCTCCAGCAGGCGTTCCGGTGTCAGAGCCCCAGTGCAGCACAAGGCCCCTTGCATAGTGAGAATTTCAAAGGGATGACAGCAAAGCGTGAAG